ACCAAGCTCTGTAGAAACATTAACATTAACGTCAATCGAATTCTGTTATTCTATATCCCTAGTACCTTGTTCATGTTCATTGGTCAAGTAATTGATCGATGAATTAAAAGTAAACACACTTTATTTCATTTGTTATCATTATTTTTATTTTTGGTGTTCCGAGATGTTCCGGCGGTGTTCCGGGGTGTTCCGGCCATGTTCCGGGGTGTTCCGGGGTGTTCCGGCGGTGTTCCGGGGTGTTCCGGCCATGTTCCGGGGTGTTCCGGGGTGTTCCGGTGGTGTTCCGTGTTTTACAGACACCCAAATACATGGCTGTGAGAGAGACTACTGTCAACCAGGTAATGTCACACTCAAATACTGTCGTACTGTATTGCGCTTCAGCATCGATGCGTAGACTAGTTGTTTTATAACGCGTTTATAAAATTCCTTCGAGTTGGAAGTGAAACAAAGTTTTGAAATCTCGTTCTTGTACATGCCGATCTGACATCGCTTCCTCACGTAATGGTCATCGTTAGTTTATAAAAAATCTACGATATGATTGATCATTTTGCCGTTATGAGTGTCTCTCTATAATTCCGTAGTTCAACGGTTATCGCATTTCATTTTCACACACAAAATAAACGAAATCGCTTCAAAATGATTTAAGATTTCTCTGTACGTAGGAGTCATATTCGATTAAAGACTGCTTCTTCTATGTGATTTATGTTATGATCCGAAAGCTAGGAAATAAAACATAAATCACGTAGAAGAAGCAGTCTTTTATCGAACTTCAAAATGCTTCAACTGCAAGTTTTGGCGCTAAATGCTGAACACGGCACACTAGCAACGTGGGATATTTTTGGTACAAGACAGATTTGCATTGACAAGTCGTCTGATTGTTGTGGCGGTATAAAATACGTTACATCGAAATCTGTGACCATCGCATGTCATTGGTTAAAATGGGTTCCTATCACGAACTCGTAGATAAATCTGATTGGTTCATTTGCGTCTTCATTCCGAAAATACATTAAAACTGAGTTAATTATTGTTACAATCGTACGATACGCAGCTAGTTAGATCTGTGAATATTACGTGTTTGTGATGTTAATTGTCACCTTCAGTAATTTTTCCCTAAAAACAGAAATCGCTCTCGTGTATTAATGTTTAATGAACTGCCAATGCTTTTCGTAAAGTTTTATTTTAGGGGTCGTTATTTTGGCGTCACGAACACAGATATCTAAGTCGGAATATGATTGGTTTAGTTGCGTTCTCATTCCGAACATCAATCGAACTTGAGGTCATTTAACGGATATATACCTTTTGAATCTGTCAAGTATGAAATAAAACAAAGTTTTGAAATCTCGTTCTTGTACATGCCGATCTGCCATCGCTTCCTCACGTAATGGTCATCGTTAGTTTATAAAAAATCCACGATATGATTGATCGTTTTGCCGTTCGCGTTTGGTAGGGTTAGCGTGCTATTAGATGAGTGTATAAACGTTTACTTATCTGCCAACGCTTTTCGTAATGGTTTATTTTAGGGGTCGTTATTTTGACGATGTGATTGGTTGAATCGGGTTCCTATCACGAACACAAATATTTCAGTTGAGATATGATTGGTTTAGTTGCGTTCTCATTCCGAACATCAATCGAACTTGAGGTCATTACTCGCTATTATGAATTTTGGAATCTATCAAGTTGGAAGTGAAACAAAGTTTTGAARTCTCGTTCTTGTACATGCCGATCTGCCATCGCTTCCTCACGTAATGGTCATCGTTAGTTTATAAAAAATCCACGATTGATTGATCGTTTTGCCGTTCGAGTTTCGTAGGGTTAGCGTGCTATTTCATTTATCGCATTTATCGACTTTCACACGCACAAAAAAAAAACGAATAATTTCAACATACTTCAACTGGAACGTAGGCTATTTTTGGTACAAGATAGATATTTGCATTCAAAGGTCCGGAAAGGTCGTATGTTGTGTAGATTAAGGTATCTATGACCTGTTATGAATCCATCATCGCTTGAGTGTGCTTCATGGCTTGTGATTGGTTGAAACGGGTTCCTATCACGAACTCATAAATATCAAGTTACTAATTCATCAACGTGATTGGCTGATTTGCGTTCCTGTACCAAGGTCATGATAATCTAGATTTTTTCTAGACTCTGATTGGTTGATACAGGGTATGTGTTCCGCAAAGGTGCTTTTATCTAAAAAGTACATAATTAGTTGCTCAAGTACATTTTTAAATGCACAAATGTTTATTATATCATTCAACTGATTGTTGTTTTCACGTGGAATATGTTAATTTTAGCGTGCGTAGTATTGAGAATCTATACTTTCGTCGAATAAAAATGTTTCAATGGTTCCTTCGCCTTGCCTATGTTATAAAAGAAATGGTTCATAGGTAGCGTGCATCCATCCTGTTATGGATGCACGCGGGAGGTTGCTAAGCACGATAAAAAGCGTAACGAGTGGCACGACGCGAAGCGGAGTGCTACTCTAGCTTTTTTGAGTGCTTAGTCAACCTCCCAAGTGCATCCATAACAGGATGGATGCACGCTACCTATGAACCATTTCTTAAAATAGCATCTTCTTTATTAAACCGATAAAAAGACGAAAATATACTTCCTTGATTATAAAAAATATTAAATGACGATTGCATTACAATCGGCTGATATGATATGATAATGTAATGGTAACTGAAATCTTACCATCTAACGAAACTCGGCGAGTATGGATAAGTCTGAAAATAACAAGGAAAACTGTAAGTGCTAATCGTTTTGATTCAACTATGAATAAAACTTATACGAATGCTATGGTCATACTCGCAAATCATTTATGTACTTACTTGGTCGTAACCGGCCATTTGTTCAGTTAAAAATGATTTCAACTGGGACAGCATGTTATGTATTTGAGCGTCTGCAACGTGTATCTATAAATGAATAAATATATATTAGATTTGCGATTGATATAAAAAAACGGGCAGAACAGTACACAAAATGATTTCTTACTGTGAATTCTGCGTTCAGTCCAGGCATTTTCAAAACGGCAAGTGGGCAGTGTCATTGTGACATTAAGGCTTTTATACTGTCCACTAACAACATCAAGTAATCCTAAGCTAAACATTATATAGTAAACAATTATCATTTCTACACTTTATTCAGCTTGGGAAAGCCAACAAAAATGTCAATTTCAAACNTTTTTGTCGTGAAGTTTTGCTTTTTGCCGTAAAGTTTTGTTTATTGCCGTGAAGTTTTGCTTTTTGCCGTGACGTTTTGCTTTTTGTCGTGAAGTTTTGCTTTTTGCCGTAAAGTTTTGTTTATTGCCGTGAAGTTTTGCTTTTTGCCGTGACGTTTTGCTTTTTGTCGTGAAGTTTTGCTTTTTGCCGTAAAGTTTTGTTTATTGCCGTGAAGTTTTGCTTTTTGCCGTGAAGTTTTGATTTTTGCCGTGATAGTTGTGGGCCACCGTACTCCAGGAATTTCGTCGACCAGAGACCAAACTTTGGATACAGTTAGGCAATACCTATAATATTATGTCCCTGAGATACCGCGGAAAAATAGGCTTTTAAATTAAAATTTGTTTGAAATAGCTGTAAAAGCGTTTTCCTGGATGGGAGAGCATCACACTGGCCGTACCATTGAATTGGATTACTTGAGTACAGTGCGTTTACTGGATTCTGTGAATAAATAAAAAAATTTTGACAATGCATCGGTGAGCTTTATGACAATTATGTGTCAGTCAAGAAATACTGTTTGTTGTGGGGTGGCAAAAGGGAGCTGTATGTAACAATGTAAATGGGATTGCCTCAGTATGTATTATCTGACGTTCTAAGAATTCTTGGACGAACATGAGCAAAAACATACCACAGTCATAATTTTGTGTGTAAAAAGGGCATTTCCACAGATCAATCTGATTGTAAATCTTGGACTTGATGAAAAGAGTCTGCAAATGCGAAAATAGAAACGGTCAACTTGCATCGACAATTAACAGGATAACACAATCATATAATATGTTTCCTGTTTGGGTTATAGGAATGGTTTTACAGAATAGGTTTTACAGAATAGGATTTGAAAGTATAAGCAATTGAGTTGCGTGCATCAGCTATGAATGGTATTAAATTGATAACCCATTCTCATTTCCCGGCCCCGATCAATGATTATTGATTTTTTAATACAAGTTGTATATTTACCATTGATAAAGTATAGATTATGMMATAGGACATGAGTCCCAAAACGAATCGTCCGTTCGATAATAACTCCCCTAAAATAAATGAAAATCAGTGATCAATTGATTAATGTTATTAGTAAAAATAAAACGGTAGTAACTGATAACAATTTATAGCATCTTCTTTATTAAACCGATAAAAAGACGAAAATATACTTCCTTGATTATAAAAAATATTAAATGCCAATTGCATTACAATCGGCTGATATGATATGATAATGTAATGGTAACTGAAATCTTACCATCTAACGAAACTCGGCGAGTATGGATAAGTCTGAAAATAACAAGGAAAACTGTAAGTGCTAATCGTTTTGATTCAACTATGAATAAAACTTATACGAATGCTATGGTCATACTCGCAAATCATTTATGTACTTACTTGGTCGTAACCGGCCATTTGTTCAGTTAAAAATGATTTCAACTGGGACAGCATGTTATGTATTTGAGCGTCTGCAACGTGTATCTATAAATGAATAAATATATATTAGATTTGCGATTGATATAAAAAAACGGGCAGAACAGTACACAAAATGATTTCTTACTGTGAATTCTGCGTTCAGTCCAGGCATTTTCAAAACGGCAAGTGGGCAGTGTCATTGTGACATTAAGGCTTTTATACTGTCCACCAAAAACATCAAGTAATCCTAAGCTAAACATTATATAGTAAACAATTATCATTTCTACACTTTATTCAGCTTGGGAAAGCCAACAAAAATGTCAATTTCAAACAAGTAGAAAGTTTCATTGTATCGCTATTTGTGATGTGACAGGTTATAACTATCAAGAAACTGAAGTCGTGAACTCTTCCCGTGAAATAAACAAACCTCTCAAGAATGTTTGTACAATTAAGTACTCGATAATAATAGATAATGAATACTCATAGTTAGACCTCTCTTAATCCATAGGCGATTGTTGAATGATTAACTAAATTAACTAATTTAGCGTCATGATGTAATCATAACTTTAGCAATCTATGTCAATTACAGACAGAAGAGAATGACCATTTTCTTCTTTCCCAACTCTCCACAGTCTACTCTATGTGGGTGCCTAAATGCTACACAGTGATAGAGTACTTGAAGTAGGACAAATTGGAAACTAAGTAGGTAAACATGTCATGAGCTACTCAACATGAGCTACTCAAAATGAAGCAAATAAACTATAACAATGAAGTATAAACAAGTCTACATATAATTCCGGATACTACATTTAAATCCGTAGTGTCAATTTTTTCCAAAACAGTTGGGCAATCGGTCAAATGTCCCAAACAGCTTGGTGTATGCTGCGATTACCCAAATCATTTGGGATTATATTGACTCGTTACGCACGGCATCCCAAATGACCTGGGGAAATCTTAGAAAACCCACGTTCAAAGGGATTTCATTGYAAATTCCCGAACGACTTGGGCTATGATATCGGACGATCGCGACATCGTCTTGATTTCATCAATCAACGAGTTTAAAGTTAGTTATTGTGAGTTCCGTGATATAAAAAGTACGTCTAAATGCCACGTAAAATATTGCTTACAATTCGATTTTATAAATCGTACCTGTTTTACATAATCTTGTCAATGTCTGATCCACTTACATGTCAAATTCTTCATAAGCAAACTTTGTAACGTCTGCATGATCTTGCTTTATTATTTAACATTATTATGCATTCCGGCGCCCAGGGCTTGCAAACAACATTCATCTTGGAAACATTGTTGCTTTCAGAGTATCCACTTTAGTCACGAACTGCACCTTTTGTAAATCCAGGCACTTTGTGCTTTGTTGTTTTGCTGCTTCTTGCTGTCTTTGTACTGTACGTGCATTTTTAGACCCGACGAGTAAAAATGGCGCCAACAGAATCTGCTCATCTCGGTAGCGTTTTTTTTTTTACTGTGTTCATAGTACGGCAAGGTTTCTTAAGCTTAGACCAAGTAACATCGCTAGCGTACGTAGCGTATACATTTTAAACTTTCTTGAAAGGAATGATTTTGAAGCGTTTGACTCGACAGCCCGACATACTTATCTTTGTGATGCAACAGCAACATGTACGTTGCGTGCGATAATATCTT